GGGGTCTACCGGAGGGGGACCTGGGAAAAGGAAGAGCGGGGGCGGGAGAAGGGACGGAGTGCGGTAGGGGAAGAGCCGGTAGAAGGGGACCGACTCGTCAAACGTGACGTCCCGGGAGGTTAGAACACGTCGGGAGGTGGGGTGGTAGAACTGCCACCCAGGTGTGTCAGGGGGGAAACCCAGGAAGACGCAAGGAGCAGCACGAGAGGACAGCTTGTCCGCGGACAAGTCGCGAACAAACGCCCGAGATCCCCAGACACGGAACACCGACGCATTGCCAACCTTCCTCGTCCACCGCAGAGCTGGGGAGGTCTCCGGCCTGGAGACTCTGGGCTGAAGGTTGATCTGATGCGCCGCGTACCAAACTGCAAACGGCCACAGAAAATAGGGGGCAGCCGCATGCATCATGGACGTACGAGCGACGTCCATGACCATGCCAATGCGGCGCTCAGCAATCCCATTCTGCTGTGGAGAGTCCGGAAGCGTGAAGGTCTGGCGGATGCCTCGTGCACGACAGTAGGCTCGCAGAAGGCCAGAGGAGAACTCTCCGCCTCTGTCCGAGTGCAGACGCAGAACAGGAAAGTCCGAGCCGAAGCTCTTCCTGAGCTGGAGACGAGCTGCGCGGATCCAGTCGATCAACACCTCAGTGACCTCACCCTTGCTGCGCAAGGGGAAGACCATGGTGTAACGCGAGTAGTCGTCAACCACCAGCAGGAATTAGCGCTCGTGACCCTGTCCACGGACGCGGGCTGGGCCCCACACGTCCATGTGAAGTGTCTGCAGCGGGGCCTCCGTCGGAGGAAACGGGGAGGAGTGAGGGGTAGCCCGGAGGCGTCCCTCGACACAGGGGACACAGGGAGGGCCCGGACCCGGAGGAAGGGGAGGGAGGGACCGGGGAAGACAAGAGACAAGAAGACAAGAGGCCATGCTCCGTAGACGAAGCAGGGAGGGGTGACCCATGCGGTGGTGCCACAGGAGGGTCTCGTGGGATAGGAGGCGACACGAGCAGGGGGCAGACTCAGGACCAGACCTGGACGCTGAGCAAACACCTGACCCGACGCAGGTACCTGACCAGACGCAGGAGGAGGAGACGGAACAGTGAGTGTGTACAGGCTCGACCCCGGCCGACGTGTGAACGTGGTCAAGTGTCTGCCCGTGTCCGCGTCCGTGCAGTGGGTGTCCCGTCGGCGCGCAGGGGTGAACTGGTCAACCCCTGCATCCTGTAGGTCAGCACCCGCCACCAAGTTCGTAGAGAACGAGGGGAGGTACAGACCCGACAGGGAGCCAGACGGGACGGCAGGGCACGGAAGGACAGTGGAGTAGCGAGCTAGAACAGGACCCCCAGAGGGGTCTGCTAGGGAGACTGCAACCGGCCGACTAAGCGGCGTGAGTGTGGTGCGGTCTCGAAAGAAGGAGCGAGACGCTCCTGAGTCAAGAGTGAAGGTGAGGGAGGCCGGAGCCGACGCACTACCTGAGAGAGCAGACTCACCAGCACATGAGGACGCAGACTCACTGGCACCTAGAGCAACAGCCTCACCAGTACCTGGAGCAGCAGCCTCAACAGCACCTAGAGCAGCAGTACCAATGCCCGGGTCGGGCGGGAAACACCGGTAACAGTCACCCTCCTCACTAATAGTCACAGCATACATGGCACGAAGAATAGCATCAAAGTCAAGATCAAAGATAGCTACTCCTGCCCTAGACAGCTGGTCCCAGCGAGGGATCTCAGTGGCGTCAGGAAACTGGCGGCGCCAAGCGTCAGTCAGGCGGCCAAAGCAGCGCTGGGTGGGGTGTGGACCACCACACGGCTCACCCGCACGGTCGCCAGTGCGCAGGACGTAGGTGCACGGACCAGTACCCCCACCCCTCTGACGTGCAGCGTACCACTCACGGAGCTGCTGCGGGGAGAGGGTCTCCTGACCACGCTGCTGCTGCTGGCGCTGACCACCACCGGAGCCACTCCTCTGCGACGAGCCACGACCTCCTCCGCCGCCTTCGCCGCCGCCGCCGCCACCACCTCCGCTGCCACCTCCACTCCCACCGTCGCCGCCGCCACCGCCGCCCCCGCCTCCACCCCCACCACCACCGCCGCTGCCGCCTCCGCCTCCACTGCCGCCGCTGATACCTCCACCCCCGCCACCACTCCCACTACCACCCCCACCTCCTCCGCTGCCTCCGCCGCGGCCTCCACCGCCCCAGCCAGCTCCACCACCGCCCCTGCCCCCCTTGCCCTTGCCAGGGTGACGTCTCCCACTAGGGGCAGACGCCGCACCGCCCGACTCTAAACCAACGAGTCGGTCGTAGCAGCAGAGGCGACAGAGGGCAGGAGGGGGGAGGGGGAACACCCCTCAAAGATGGGGGTGCGTGGGTCACCACGAGAGGCCCCTACCGCGAGAATGCTCTTCTCGGCCGCTAGGAGGGACTTCTCGAGGAGGTCAACAGTGAGAGTGGTGGGGCAGACTGAGAGAAAGTGGTCCCTGACTACGCGAAGGGAGTCAGGGAGGCGGGTGACGATGTAGTAGAGGGTGATGTACATGGGGGGGGGGGGGGTTCTTGGCGCAGAACTCAGTGGGAAGCGCAGCGCGGTAGCGAGCGTCACTAGTGCGCAGGTGGGTAATGAGGTCAGCGACTGTGGCAAAGGCAGCAAGGTCGGGAAGAGGTATGGTAGCATGAGGCGGCTCAGTGCAGCAGTGGCAGGGGAGGAGTAGCGTGCAACTACAGCGTCGTACAAGGTCTGAGCACTCTTGTACTGGCCAAAGTGTGCACGCTCAGAGGGAGGGAGGTGGCGACGCACAGAAAGACGTACAGCAGCATCGCGTGTGGCCCACTGTGAGCGAATAGTGGCATCCTCAGTAGCAGCAGGGGCGGGAGAGGCACCAAAAGTGAGGTCAAAGAGAGAGAGGCTGTCAGCTCTATCGCACTGTAGGAAGAGCAGTAGGTCGTCGACCCACACGTCAAAGTCGATGGCCCTACCCTTAGCGTCAAAAGTGAGGACACTGGGGGTAGCCATGACAGCAGTAGACTAGCAGTAGGGTGAGGACAGTGTGGAGGGTACAGCTCTGCGCTCACCAGACAGGGTAGGTCGGGTAGTGTAGGTACCGGGCGGCGCAGGCGACTCGGGCGGCTCGGCGGCTCGGCGGCTCGGCGGCTCGGCTGCTGGGCGGCTCGGGCGGCTCGGCGGCTCGGCGGCTCGGCGGCTCGGCTGCTGGGCGGCTCGGGCGGCTCGGCGGCTCGGCGGCTCGGCGGCTCGGCTGCTGGGCGGCTCGACTGCTGGGCGGCTCGGCTGCAGGGCGGCTCGGCTGCTGGGGCGGCACGGCTGCTGGGGCGCGGCGGCGCGGCTGCTCGGGTGTAGCGGCGGGACCGGTAGATGCAGTGGTGGGGCCGTCAGGTGCAGCGGCGGGGCCGGTAGAGGGGACGGCGGGGCCGTCAGGTACAGCAGCGGGGCCGGTAGAGGGGTCGGCGGGGCCAGCAGGTGTAGCGGCGGGGCCGTCAGGTACAGCGGCGGGGCCGGCAGAGGGGACGGCGGGGCCGGTAGGTGCAGTGGCGGGGCCGTCAGAGGGGACGGCGGGGCCGTCAGGTGCAGCGGCGGGGCCGTTTGATGCAGCGGCGGGGCCGGCAGAGGGGACGGCGGGGCTGTCAGGTGCAGCGGCGGAGGCGGAAGAGGGGACGGCGGGGCCGTCACAGGCGATCGCGGGGCCGTCAAGGGCGGCGCCGGGATCGCGGAGGTGGGCGCCGAGGCCAGAGGGGCGGCGCGCGACTGGAGGGCGGCACGCGCGGCGCGACGCGACCGTCTGGGGCGGCGCGACGAAGCCGCTTAGGCGGCGCGACGAAACCGTAAGGGCGGCTCGACGCGATCGGGCCGCCAGAGGAAAACAAAAGGCCGGGCACGACTCGGGCTAGGGCTGAGCGCGCTCCGGGCAGGACAGGAAAGTTGGTGGGCCCTAGGAACAGTTCCCACTAGGGAACCTGCTCGATACCATGTTGAGATAGTAGCGAGGAATGTTGAACTATGAAATGAAAATGAGTACAAGTACCAACCCTAATTGGGTTGTACCCCCTATGGGCTACCCCACTACAGCCTACAAACATGCATCAGCTACAATAATCTGACAACTCGCACTCACATCCACACTCACGCTCGCATTTAGCCTCCCACTTGCTTTCGCACACTGTTGCTCGCACTAGCCTTGCCTCACTCTCGCACTCACACCCGCAATCACCCTTGTTCGCACCCTTGCACTCGCTCTCGCACTCACTCTCCACTCACACGCATATACTCTTAAATCTTCTTCGACACTCACAGAAACACACACACACACACACGTGCACTCATCCTCGTACTCAACCTACCACACACACTCGAACGCACTCACACCAGCACCCGCACTCAACCTCGCACTCACACCAGCACCCGCACTCAACCTCGCACTCACACACATACTCACGCTCGCACTCACCCTCAAATTCGCCCTCACACTCACGCTTGCACTCACTCACACACTCACGCTCGCACTTGCTCTTTCATTCACCCTCGCACCCGGCCTCGCACTCACAATCGCACTCGCATCAAGATTCACACCCGCACTCACCATCTCGCACACTCCTCATTGCAACCATACACACACTCGCCCCCTAAACACAAGCACCCACGGCGGCAGCGCCCTAAGCACAAGCGGCTTAGGCTCAGACGCCCATGGCGCGCCAACGGCACAAGTGCGCACGGCGCGGAAGGTGCTCCCTCCCCCGCCTCTCCCTCCCACGCTCCCTCCCACACGTTCTTGGTTCTCCCTCCCCCGCTCACTCCAGCTCTTCCTTCGTTCTCTCACGCGCACTCTCTTGCGTGCTCACTCACGTGCACACGCTCACTCTCTCCCACCTTCAAATGCAACGCAAGAGAGACCAAACTCGACACAGAACCCTACGAGTTAGATAATTTAGAGGGGGAAGGGAAGGGAGGAGAAAAGCCGGGAAAGGTAAACGCACCTGAGAATCACGGTGCCTCAGAGATCAACCTGCGCTCGCCCACCAGCTCGCACTCGCGCTACTGTCTTCAGCGACGACGGCGGGATGGGAAGGCGACGGCGGGAAGGGGACGGCGGAATGAGAGAGGGACGCCACGGCAGATTGAGAGGGGAGGGTGGCGGCGGAATGAGAGGGGGAGGCGACAGCGGCGGAATGAGAGAGGAAGGCGACGGCGGAATGAGAAGGGGGGGCGACGGCGAAATGAGAGGGGAGGGCGCGGCGGAATGAGAGGGGGAGGAGACGGCGGTGGGATGAGAGGGGGAGGCGACGGCGGAATGAGATTGGGAGGCGATGGCGGAATGAGAGGGGGAGGCGACGGCGGGATGAGAGAGAGAGGCGACGGCGGAATGAGAGGGGGAGCGGCGGAATGAGAGGGGGAGGCGACGGCGGGGCGAGAAGGGGAGGCGACGACGGAATGAGAAGGGGAGGTGACGACGGGATGACAAGGGGCCGCCGCGACGGCGGAATGAGAGAGGGAGGCGCGGCGGGAGGAGAGGAGGATGCGATGACGAGATGGGAGGGCGAAGGCGACGGCAGGCTGAGAGGGAGGCGCCGGCGGGGTAGGAGGAAGAGCGCGGGGTGAGGTGAGAGGGAGCGGCTATGGCGAGGTGGGTGGGAGGGGCAATGGCTAGATGGGTGGTAGTTGCGACAGCAAGAACGAGGTTGGGAGGAGAGGCGGGGTGGCTGGGAGGGAGTTCGGGTTGGGGTTTGGGGCAAACAAGGGCGTGGTACTGTACAGTACTCAAATTCGAGGCGCTGGTTCTGGAAGTTGGGTTGGTCGATGGGGCAGCTGCTAAGAAGGTGTCTCATGTGGCTGGTCCGCCCCGAGCTGGTCCGCTGCAATAAAAGGCGTGCCTGGTCCGCAATTCTGGTCCGACGGACCAGCTTCGCGGACCAGCCGTGGACCAGGCACGAGCTGGTCTACGTGAGACATCGCGCCACGGGCTGTACAGAACTAGCGAATAAAAATCAGTACTTACGAAAATCAGACATGTTGAAATTGAGTTACCTTTTTTTTTTTGCCCCGTAAAAAATTCCCAACCTGCTAGGAGCGACAATCACGAGTGGCAAGAATTTTCGCAAACAGCTGTGTGAGCTGCTACAGTTACGGACCAGGCGCGGGCTGGTCTGGCGATCAGTTCAATGGCACCATTGCACTATATGCCAGTTGAAAGTTTTATCAGGGTTAATCTCGGTCCAGTCCGCCGCTGGTTCAGGCTTGGTTCTCGAGCTGGTCCGCCAGATCCGCGTCGGAACCACGTGGACCCGCACATTTGAGACACGTCCTAAAAAGGAACAAGCCATCTGAAATTGAGGTATAGAAACGTTGTAGATATCGAATCGAAAACAAACACCTAGGGGAAAATTGCAGACCTGACAGAACTTGGGCACCAGGTAAGAAACAAAAAACATACACACACCTTCTAGACTTGGAAGCTAGTGCCACGTGAAAAGCACGTATAATGACGTCACACATCTAATCATCTGAGTAAGATACCCCATTAGAGCAGAAGCTTTATACTGAAAAAGGCATTACCGCAAAACAATATACCTTCTTTCTAAATGTAACATGTTATGTAGCTTAAAAACACAACAGGCTTACTAGCAGAAAACTATTCCATAATAATAACTGGGTTGCGTAGTTGTGTATATGGCATGAAATGGCATGAAATGAATACCACATAATTATGTTACGTACATATCATCAATAATATTAAAATCTATGAATTTAACTGACTACGCAACCCTTCCGACGTTAACGTCGAGTCTTGTTTTGACATTCCTTACCGCGTGCTTCAACACCGCGTACAGAACAGGGTTCTCCTTTGACAGGTAAAATACCCTTGATATGGGCCGCGTTTTGGCATCTACCCTGATTTTGTAAGTCCATTTGATTTGTTACCCTTATGAAGAAAGTGTAGATTCCCCCCCCCCCCTGTCAGAAACCACTAGCAGGAATGAATGAACTAGGTCAAAGTTTGGTACAAGTATGAAACCCTACGGGGCTATACCCCGTATTGGCTATCCCACTATAGCCTACATATAAATAACACATATATAATTTGACACACCCCCATAGGTAAAGTGGGGGAGAGCAAGAGGTTACAAGTCGAGTCAAGAAAAGCAAAGCAAGCTCAGGGTGGATCACAACGTCACCACACACTCTAAGCACAAACAAAGGGCCACAAGGCTAGTCCACATGCAGAGCTATATATATAACAGCAACGATACAGTTATCACTACCTAGCAAGAGCAAGTATGCAGGTATATATAAATAGATCACAGTACAAGCACAGTCACGAGATGAGCAAGTGAGACGAAACGGACACTAGGCGTGACAGAGTACATAGGCGCTGATGATCACAAGACGGAAGTGCCATGGTGAATATATCAGCAGTGTTGGCCCGAGTGTCCACGTGAGAGAGACGAAGCTGACCACGCTGCTGCAACTCTCGAGCCAGGAAGTAACTTAGGGCGATGTGCTTCGTTCTGTGCTCCAGTCTGTGCTCCTGACACAAGACAATGGCAGCCTTGTTGTCTACGTACAGAACTAGAGGGGAACGAGGCCGCTCTCCCAAGTCAGTCTGCAGGTAGGTGAGCCAATGTAGCTCCTGTGCAGCCATGGCTGTGGCGTAGATCTCAGCCTCACAACTGGAGCTGAGAACAGAAGACGAGCGGGTAGACGCCAAGAGACAGAACCATAGCTGTAACCCTGTAACGACCGCTGCGTAGCCAGGTCGTCGACCCAAGAAGCGTATGAGTGTCCAGTGAGGACAACAACGCCTCGTCCTCCAAGCACGAGCCCCATGCCTGACGTACTGCACAAGTAAAGCAGTACCCTCTTCGCAGCATCCCAGTGCACCTTTTGGTGCCTACCAGGAGCCACGTAGCAAGCCAGAAGGCCAAGAGGGTACGCGAGGTCAGGACGAGTGCAACTGCTGCACCATGTGTGACTGAGTCATGATAATGGTGCGGCGTGCTCTGTCCCGAGTTATCTGCAAGCCAAGATAACTGCGCAGCTCACCTAGGTCTGTGCACGTGTGTCTCTTCTGCAACTATGACTTCACAAGAGCGGGTGCCTCCGTGTCAGCAGTGGCAAAGACCAAGTCGTCGACGTACACGAGGATGTAGAACGGCGGCAGGGAGGTGTCGGTGCGTAGAAACATCGACGTGTCAGCAGTAGAAGGAGCAAACCCAAGAGCCGCAAGTGTCGTCCTCAGTGTGTCGTGCCACTCATGAGGCGCCTGACGGAGACCGTAGACTGGCTGGCGGAGGCTCCACTGGGTACCAGGAGGGAACGACCCAGTGAAGCAAGGAGGCCGGCGCAACCAGATCTCCTCATGCAGACTGCCTTGTAAGAACGATGTGATCAAGTCAAGAGAGTGAAGCTCGTAGTCACACCGAGCAGCAACGTGCAGCCGTACCCGAAGAGTGGTCATCTTCGGGATGGGGGAGCGGGTCTGAAAGAAGTCAACTCCGTGTTGTTGACTGAAGCCTCGTGCAACGTAACGAGCCTTGAAGATAGGCGGAGGACCCGGCGGTCGCTATACTCTGAAAATCCACATGCCATCGACGATGTTCGCCCTGGGAGGGGGAACCTCGTCGACGTAAGTGCCTGTGGACTTCCAGGATGCCATCTCTGCGTCCATGGCTGTCTGCCACTGAGAGGAGTAAGGACACGAAATCGCCTCTGCGTAAGAGCGCGGAGTTGGGATGTCCAGTGCATCCGGGTCTCCCTCAGGGGCAAGCAACATGGCCACGAGATGAGGCGCAGCAGCCGCAAGACACTCAAAGTCCTCCTGCCTGTCCTCAAGGAAGTCCGTGCTAAGAGCACACTCACCCCCGACGGACGGAGGACAGACAGGCTCAGACTCAGCAACAAGACTTTCGGCGTAGTTTAGATGATAGGCAGCAGTAAAGTCAACAAGCTCAGCGACTAAGGCATACGCAGCGGTAGACTCAAACGACAGGTCAGTGACAACAAAGGCAAGCAGACGCATGATAGTAGGGTGAGCAGCACGAGCGTTGTCAGACTCATGGTCTGGAACGTCAGATAGAGAAGACGGAGGAGGGGACGGCAGGGGAACATGCTGCGGAGCAGATGAAGGACGCAGGGCCATGAGGTGTGTGCCGGGGACAGCCGGCGGACACTGACGAGGAACACGACGACTAGTATGACCCGTGCGGACAGCGCGAACAGGCGAGACATGACGAGATGCAGGTGCACGACGCTCAGCAAGACTGCCTAGCTACTCAGTGTAAGGAGAAGGAGCAGGCACCGGTGAGCCAGGCTGTAACGGGAGACCAGTAGAAGACGCGAGGCTAAGAACCTGGTGAAGCACGAAGTCAGGCGGTGGCAGAGAAGAAGGTGACGGTGGAGCGAAGAACATTCGCCGTTGTGCAGTGCCACCAGTACCAGTAGCTCCTGCACCTCCTGCAGCTCCAGAACCTCCAGCACCAGCACCTCCAGCGCCAGCACCACCAGAACCGGCACCCCCAGCGCCAGCACCTCCAACAGCTCCAGAACCTCCAGCAACAGCACCTCCAGTACCAGCACCACCAGCAGCAAAACCCCGAGAACCGGCACCTCCAGTCCCAGGGTCTCCAACCTCAATGTCTCGAACAGCAGCACCCCCAAAACCTGCACCTCCAGCTCCAGGGCCTCCAACCTCAGAGTCGACAGCAGCACCTCCAGGTCCAGCAGTACCTCCTGCCCCAGCAGCTCCAGTACGAGCACCTCCGGGACCAGCAGCTCCAGGAACTCCAGTAGAAACACCTCCAGTAGTAGAGTCACCAGCTCTAGCAGCGTGACCCTGACGCCGAACGTACCACTCACGCAGCTGCTGTGTGGAGAGAGGGACAGCGCCAGCTCCAGTGCCTCCAACCCTAGCGCCTCCCGTAGTTGGGCCCCCAGCTCGAGCAGCGCGACCGTGACGGCTAACGTACCCCTCATGCAGCTGCTGTGTGGAGAGAGGGACACGCAGACGAGAGTGCTGCGGCGAGGCACCAGCGGAGCGACTACGGAGGCGGCCGCTCCAAGGAGACTTCTCACCAGGCGCCTCAATGACCCCAGGCGCAGCACCGCCAGACCCAGCATCCCAAGGCTCAGCACCCCCAGGCTCAGTACTCCCAGGCTCAGCACCTCCAAGCTCCGCACCCTCAGGCTCAGCACCCCCAGGCTCCTCACGCTCAGGCTCAGTACCTCCAGGCTCCGCACCCCCAGGCCCAGCACCCCCAGGCTCCGCACCCTCAGGCTCAGCACTCCCAGAAGCAGCACCCCGAGCAGGACCACCCCCAGCAGGACCTGAGTCACATGTGACGTCAATCGGCTCAGTCAAGGGAGGAGGGTCTACCTGAGACACACCTGAAGGAGCAAGATCGGGAGCAGGGAGGGGGTCTACCTGGGGAGGACCTGGAGCGAGGAAGAGCGGCGAGGGGGGGGGGGGGGGGGGGGGGGGGGAGAGGGGCAGTGCGGTAGGGAAAAAGACGGTAAAAGGGGATTGACTCGTCAAAGGTGACGTCCTAAGACGCAAAGACACGGCGCGAGGGGGGGTCGTAAAACTGCCAGCCAGGCGCGTCAGGGGGGAAACCAAGGAAGACGCATGGAATGGCACGAGGGGAGAGCTAGTCCGTAGTGGTATCGTGAACAAAGGCACGAGCACCCAAGACCCGGAACCTCGACTCATCGCCAACCTTCCCCGTCCAGCGCAGTGTGGGCAAAGTCTCCGGAACGGAGACACAAAGCCGGAGGTTGAGCTAATGCGCGGCGTACCGGACCGCAAACGGCCACAGAAAATGGGGGGCAGCTGCATGGATCATGGAGGTACGAGCAACCTCCATGACAAAGCCAATGCGGCGCTCAGCAACCCCATTATGCTGAGGAGAGGCCGGAAGCGTGAACGTCTGGCGGATGCCGTGCTCCTCACAGTAGGCTCGCAAGAGGTCAGAGTGCAGACGCAAGACAGGAAAGTCCGACTCGAACCGCTTGCGAAGCTGGAGACGAACAGCGCGGATCCAAGGGATCAAAACAGCAGGGACATCCCCCTTGCGCTGCAAGGGGAAGACAGTGGTGTAGCGCGTATAGTCGTCGACTACCAGCAGGAAGTACCGCTCGTGGCCCTGTCCACGGACGCGGGCTGGGCCCCACACGTCCAGGTGGAGAGTCCCCAGTGGAGCCTCTGTGGGAGGGAACGAGGAGTGAGGAGCGGCGTGCTGCCGCCCCTCGATGCAAGGAATGCAGGGCGGCGCAGGCGAGGGAGGGAGGGAGGGCAGAGACCTGGGAAGACCAGAGACCAGTAGGCGAGAGTGCATGCCCCGAAGGCGAGGCAAGGAGGGGTGACCAAGGCGGTGGTGCCAAAGGAGAGTCTGGTGCGTCAGGCGGCGACACTCACACTGGGTAGCTCCCTGAGCTGACGCGTACAGCTGAGGAGACAAAGGGGTGGAGTGCGACGCAGTGGTGAGGGTGTACAGCCTGGA